GTTGATGGAGCAAAGCGTGACCGAACAAATCACCTGTGGCAAACATGAAAAAAAAAATGGAACATATAGCCAATATCTATAAGATGAAAACTCATATAGTAGAAATAAATGTAGTAATTCATCTATTTAGTTTCTTATCATATATAAAATTGGACATGCACATATAGAAAACGTCCATCAAAATACTAAAATATTATACTTAGAAAAGTTACATTTTACTGTTCAACACTTATTAAATGTGTCTTAAAATATCTAAGAAGTATCAAACACGCGACTAAAGTATTTGAGGCATATCATGTACGTGCTAGAAATAAATAAATAAATAAAATTTATTTTAAAATTATAAACAAGTTTATGAAGTATTAGACTCACACGATATACGAATTCATACGCTCTATAAGTGTACCGGTTTTTCAAAGATTTTCAAAAAGATTTTCAAAATGAATAGTAATTAACTGATAAACATGTATACTTGTGTTTACAATTTAACTTGTAGTAAGGAAATAAATGTAGGCTCCATGCAAAAAAAATACCATCTTACAGATATTTAATTTATTTGGTGTTTTATGTTGGATTTAATTTTGCAAATCTTTAGCATTCATAAATTCTCTAGAAATGTCTTTAGTAAAATTTAGAAGTAGATTGATGCATGTCTAGACTTCGTTTCCTTGAATTAATTTGGAGAGAAATAATAGTTGTACTAGTATAAAAAATAATGTTTTTGTCTGCACCCAAATTGGATATTTGGACCACCTAGACATTACTTTATGAAGAATGGGGTTCAAAATTGTTGAATGGTGAAAAAACAGGCTAGATCTTACTCCAAGCCACTTTAGTAGCTGACGTGACCAATTAACAATTCTTACGGCCTTGGCTATCTTGGTTGGGTGTACCATACACCAAATAAGAGAGTAAGACAACTATTACTGTTCAATCAAAAGATATAGTCTAGAGTGACAAGTCCAAAAAAAGGCCCTCGAGTACCTAACCGTCAGGTAAATGTCTTTTGTCTTTCACATCAAGCGTGGGTGAAGCCAACATGTCATATTCATGTCAGATAGAGGATGGCACATCACATGCAATGGTAGTTTCTTCACATTAACTTCATCACAACCATACATGTGGCGCCAATCCAATAGTGGTCCTCATTTCTCCAACACTAAATAAAATTCATTTATGATGAAGAGGAGGTCCTGCACCACCACACCTTTTTTTTCGTCTATTGTATCTCCGGCCCTAGGCCTACTATCTTTTGCTTTTACAGTTTTCATTTACATCACCTCACTTCAGGTTGAATGGAGTCCTTTCGTTAAGATTGAAGTGATACAAACCACTAAGACCACTTATAACTGTCAGACGAGGTTATTTGCTTCTTTCTCATTTTGATCTAACACGCCCACACATTGAGAAATTACAAGTGTACTCTTGAGAGCACACCTAAAGCCAAAACAGTTTCCTCCTCATGAGTAAGCAACCGAATTCCAAAAATGAAAAGCAAAAGCCTTAATAATGTACTACCTTTCCCCTTTATAACAATTCTACTTTATCTCAGTAAACTGGGTATCAAAACAACACCATAGAAGTGGTAGCTGAGAAAAAAAACATGTTACGACAAATTAAAAGTTCATGATAAAATGCAACTTTATCTAGAAAGTGATAACCCATTTCTCTCTCTCTCTCTCTCTCTCTATATATATATATATATATATATATATGAAATTTTCACATAATGGACCTATCGATCTCTTTCTAGTTCTTCACTTAAACTAACATTTCATCTCCAACACATCCATCAAGAGCATCACTACATTTGCCTAACGATAAATGCCACAATCAAATCAGAACTCGTTAAACTGAACTAGTATATGAATTAAACCAATAATACATGGTTGATTAACATGTTGGCACGGAAGTGAACTAACTACACAATGATGTCCGAAGAATAAATAAAAGATATACGTGTTTCATCAAAAATTTAGGGTTACGTTCACGGAATGCACTGGACAAATTCCACTATGAAAGTATGAAGGATTACAATGAAGATCTTCCTCTTAAACTCTCAACTTGATCGTTCTCTCTCTCTTGTGCAGACACAAAATTTCTCAACAATTAAGGCACTTACAATTCTTACACAATTGTCCCTTAATTGTCTCTCACAAAAGCTTCACTCACTTTTGCACACAAATCACTTTATGTCTCACCTCCTATAATCTAATTAAGGTTGGTATAAATAGTCCCATAAAAAGGAGCACTAGGCATGTTGGACCGGTCCATCTTAATGAAATTGCCATTTGGACCAGTCCATTTTGTCTAGTAGCCAAAATTCTCCGCAACAAACTAATTTGGACCCGTCTGTTTTGTTCGGTAGCCAAAATCATCTAGAGCAACAGCAGCTGGACCCGTCCGTAAATCATGAACTAGTCCAAGTCACCTAACTTATAGTCCTTCCAAGCGAAAGTCTTCATAACCTCAGCACTACATACTGCATTAGTCCTGACTAAAGAAATTTATTACATTATCCTACTTTAATATCAATCTAGATTTCTAATACTTTATATTTCTATCTGCATGTTTATTTATTGTTGTCTTGACCACCAAGCACATTAACGGAACCTACAAGAACATACAACTGTATGCTAAATTTTTTTCTCGTTTTTTCCCCTTGAATAACAAGAAGTCCAGTTAGATATATTTGTAGGAAATCTAATTGTGTGTTGGCAAATTTTGAAGTCAAAATTTGTGTATTGAATTGTAATTTTTTTTATATCTTTTTTTAGGTCTCAATTTTAAAAGCGGATAATGGTTTGATCATCACAAATTTTAGGCTGTACAAAATTTAGTTGAACAACACTTACGTCAAGTAAATGAGTCTTGTGAGTACACCTTGCACATTATTTTAGTTAAAGTAATTTGTGAAAATTCTATTACTATATTTTGGGGGCACGGAATTGGAGGCTTGGATTCGGAATTAGTGAAATTTAGTTTAAAAGATTTGGGGTTGGAAGAAATTGAATTCAAAATCTCAAATTCAAAGCACGCTCCCAAACACAAGTGTTTTTCAAATAGAATAGGATTCAACCAATTCTATGAATTTTTGTACCAATCAAACAAGCTACTTAGATTTATTGGTTTTAAAACAGAATGCTGTTCTACCGGATGTAGAATGGGCAGAACCGGTAGAACTTAATTCTACTGTAGAATTGAGCAAAATGAACTTCAATTGATTTTCAACTCTCTACTCTATTTTTTTTGGACGGTTAAGCAAATCTTAACGCACCCATGTCCTGTTACAAATTATATGATAAGTACCTTTTTTGGTAAGGAAACTTTGTATTAGAAAGGAATTAACAATTATGGAATATGTAGATCTATATCATCATACACATGTTTGAAATATATGTGTGTGTTTATATATATATATATTTAAAATTTGCATGTGTTTATTTGCAAGTATCTAATGCATACTGACATTAGATTTGCGTCGCAGTACAATTTTGTATAAGTATTCGTCCATCGTAGTTCTTTTTATTTGGTCATCATGACAAAATGTTTCAAAAATTAAATTAGAAAAGAAATGTTCACCATAATAGTATTAATTTGTAAATACATATATATATATATATATATATATATATATATATATATAATTATCATTTTTCTATATATATATATACAATTATCATTTTTCTATTGACCTTTTTTAAAAATAGTAAACCCAAACATGGTCGTGTTTTTCTCTTATTGTGGTATGTCATACGTATTTCATTCTCTTTATGATATTTGTTTTAGTATATATTTTGCGGAAAATATATTCCAAAATATGAGAAAAATGAAACCTAAATAAACAGAGGAAAATTTAATATGAGAAAGAAAAGCCATAGAGTAGAGGAAACAATAAGTAACATGTAAAACTGTAGCGGTAATTAAAGAGAAAATACAGTAAAAAATTAATTAAAAAAAAGAGTACTTTGATTACATTTTGGGAAAAAGTATCATTATTACCTCGACCAAAGATTAATAAATAAAAAATACTATTTTGACTAAACAAAATCTCGCAAATTTGAATAAAATGGAGTATTAAGAACAAAATAAAGAAGTGCTTTAATAACTTTATAAAATTTGTCATTTAGAGAAATGACAACTAAATATATTAGCATATATGATATCATTATTTTTATTGGTATTTTTGATGGACCACAAGTGGAGTTTATTTAAATAATAATTTTTAGAAGTTATACCTTATAATAGAATGCTAGTAATAATAAATTTATATATATATAGCAGGCAACAAAATTACTATTTTAAACTTATAAATGGATACAATTATATGTTTTGAATTTTATACATATCTATATGAGTACAATTATATATATATATTATCATTTTTTTTTTTTCAAGTTCTTATCGCCTGTACTATTGTATCTGGGTGCAGTGTCATGGTTTATATTACAGCAAAAGGGTGAATCAATTTCATGTTTCTCTAAAGTATTGTACAACATTTGTTTCTTTTGTTCCATCCACTTAGTTTCAAAAGTCAGAATTGAGTTCTAGTTAACTATGTTCAACAAAACATATTTAATCATTCAATCCAAGATTCACTAAAAATTGAAATGAATTTTCATTATGTTAATCTGCGACACATTTTGGGCTTGTAGAGGTTCCACAATAAAGTAACATTTTATTTGAGGTATTCAGAGATTGACTTGAATTTTCTGTGTGTTTTCTCTCTCTCTCTTTTCAAAATTATATGGATGTGTATTCTAGGTATATTGTACAATGTTTTACTAACTACAAATGCTATACTAGAGCCAAAGAACAAAGAGTTATTTGTTTATTTCTTGTCAATAAAATTATAATAAAAAAAAGAACAAAACAAAAAAAACACCTGAGTCAAGTGTCCCATGATTTTTCATAAATTCTCATAATGATTTTTATGCCTTTCGTAGTTTTTGAATCAGTAACTTAAAAATTGATAATTGATTTCAAAATAGTGTAACTTTTGGTTCCGTTTGTTTGGGCGTAAAATATTTTTTAGAAAATATTTTTTTATTTTTTGGTGTTTGGTTATCGTAAAATATTTACGAAGAAAAAATATATTAAAATTTAACAAAAATAATTTATCCATAAATTTTCGGCAAGTTATTTTACATGCCCCACCCAATGGACTCGACCTCAACCTCGACGTAAACCTTTGTCAAATACTGACAAAGTAAAAATAAAAAAATATTTTACCCGAAAAAAAAAAAAAAAAAAATATTTTTCGTCGAAACAAACGGAATTAATGAAGTCTCCAAATATAGAACATAAAAGAGTTTCGAATACAATTGATCAAGTGTTTTTCAATTGTAATGCCAACTCTTTTGTAATCTCATTTCTTTGTTACAATTATTTTATTTATGTTTTGGGGGATAATAAACAAATGAATATTTAAGAAACTACCCATAACTTATGCCACCAACAACAAAATTATATAAAAAAAGCATTGAAAGAGAAAAAAGGAACTTACACTTGGTTTGTTATAATTGTTGCCCTGAGCTCTCTCCTTCAACTTCATCCTCATTTGTTTCATCATCTAGCAATTGATATCAAAATGGAAAGCATTAGCTGAGTCATTCCTTATAGAAATTCAAGGACAAATTTTCATACAAATAATAAAAATACATAGTTGACTACTACTATCCTCAGAAAATAAAACTGATAGTCTTTATCATATTTCTTATTAGAATTTTATCAACTCCATATTTACCTCTTGGCCGTTGCCATTCCATGATTAATTTGTTGCTCTGCAAACCATGATTAATTTGTTGCTCATGGGACTTGTGAATATGATGACCAATTATTGTGAATTGGGTGAGACTTGTTGTTGCAATTGAGAGTGAGAATAAATATCTCACACTGTTGCAAAAACCAACTTTTAGACCTGTTTGGTTGTTGAAGACCATAAATCCCTGTCTTACTATGCCATTAAGTCTTTCACGGTTGAAGGCTACTACAGCTTCTAATGAATAACAATAATACATTTTGAGTTCTTCAACAGCCTCAAACCTCTGTAGGAGGTTAGGAGGAAAATGTAATAATTTGCTGCTCCGAGTTACCTCTTAGTTTATGTCTCTTAGTTTTGTAGAGGAGCTTGCTGGAAGCTGAGAATTCCAAATTTGTTCAAAGAGGCTCCCATCAGAGAGTATCAGTTTCTCCAACATTGGAAATGCAACCCGCAGAAAAATCACTCAGTACGCCCATGCATATATACATATTTCCATCAAATAAAGATAACACTATTGAAATCCATTCCCAAATTAAAGATGCAAGGCTTGACTCTTCATTATTTTAAATACCTCGGGTTTGGTTTGGCTCGCCTCGTCTAATAAAAACAGCCAAGATATATTCAGTGTTCGGCCTTGATTTTCGCACTGTGTTCAAGATCACTTTGGCTCGTGCCTACGTTTCATGAACGTTCCATGAGCTTAAAGAGTTGAGCTTAACAATTTTCGGAATTGGCTCGTTTATTTAAGAACGTACCTTGCGGTTGAATAGAGTTTGTATTTGGCGAATGCCTCCTTCCGATGATTCTTCTACTTCAGAACCACAGTAGCAAAAACTTTTCGAGCTTGGCAACTCTTCAAGTGACATTAACTTCAACCGAGTGAACGCGGCAATCTCATCACTTGCTCCTGCTTCTTTTCGTTGTCCTATTTCGAATCCGATTATCTTTTTCAGCTTCTCACAATCTCTTACAACTAATTCTTGGAGATACTGAAAGGAATTTTCCACTTCTTGGACGGGGAGTGATTGCTTGTATCATATAGCTGTAATGCTATTTAATTTTGCAATGAACAATTTCTCGAAGACAGGAAGAGTAACATGTGGTTCATTACATTAAATTTTGTTTATTACATATGCATATATTGTTTCCCTTCTAGGTCTTTTCAACCCAATTCACAATAATAGTTTTGAACACATAGATCAATTCCGACATTCTTTAAGAAAGAAGATAGTACTAGGGGTGGCAAAATGAGTCAAGAACCATCAATCCGCCCATATCCGCTCATTTTTTTAATGATTATGGGTGAACAATATTTAATTTGAGGGTCAAGAAAGGTTGTGTAATTTTTAACCACTTAATTTGAGGGTCAAGATGGGTTGACCATATTCAACCCATATTTCACCCATCACATAATAAACACACAACATACATCTATAAATCTATTTTATATTGTACTCAACTCATTTCTTTCTCTAAAATTCTCTCACTCACAATCCTCTCTCTCTAAATTTGTCTTTTATCAATCCCTTCTATTTAAGTTTCTCTCTCTAGAAACTTCTTCTTAAAAAAACAAATAATTAAAAAATAATTTTAAATAATTAAAATAAAAAATTTTAAAACCTTCCGAAAAAAATAGTAAAAAAATAATTAAATAATTTAAAAATGCAAAATAATTTAAAAATTTTTATGAATCACTATATCCAAGATCATAAAATTTCAATGTATTGTTGTATTTGATAAATTTCAAAACTAAACATTCAAACTAATCACCATTCTTTTTTTTCTTCTTGATGTTTGCGGATAAAAAATAAAAATAAAAAAACCACGTTGTTTTATTGTTTTCTTCTTAATGTCTTTCTTTCAATAACCTTTTATATTTTTATGTTTATCCCTATATTTAATCCTCTTATTTTTGTGATATTATCTTTCTTTTTTAATTGCTGTGAAAACTGCTCCAATCTGCACCAACTCAATGTATTAAAAAAATAAAAATTTGCAAATTGCACAATATTATGATTTTTTTTTTTCAAGGGTAAGAAAACGTTATTTTATTTATTTTTTTTAATGTTCACTTTCCTATTTGCACTTATCTCTAAAATTTTCTAACCTAAAAGAAGAGCTAATCGATACACCAAGAGAACGCACTTAATAGGATTACTCTTTTAATTTTTTACTGATTTGATTTTAATATATATCTGAAATGGTTGGACTGATTTGTAATTTTGTATCTGGTTCATATATGAGCTCTGCAGTATATTTCTGGAACAGTTGACTGATTTTGTCGTCTAGCTTATTTTATAATTTAAAAAGAAATACTTTTAAATTATTTTATAATTACTAATGTAATGTGTTCTACCTCTCAATATAAATGCATATTACCTCTACAGTTAAAGTTTTATTTTATTTTTGAATTAATTAAGTTGCGTTTTCTTAAGACACACATAGTGAATAATCAAATATATAATATATGTTAAATCATGTTAACATTTAATAAAAAAATTTTTAAAAAAATAATAATTAAAAATAATAATTAATAAATTCACGGGTCATAACGGGTTGACCCTACTCATTTCAATCGGCTTATTTTTAATCCGTTCTGAACGAGTTGAATATGGATCATGTCCTATGTTGACTCGTCCATTTTTAATACAACCCAAACTCAACCCGCCCATTTGCCATCCCAAGAGATGCTCTACTTTTTATCATCAACAACCATAGCACAACTTGAGATTTCTGTACAGTTTTTTTTTTTTTTACCAGGAAACAATAGGAATTGAGCCATAATTAAGAAATGTCTAATTCACACACTACACAAAATATAAATAAATAAATCAATTACAACAATAGTTTTATTAAATATCTTCCAAGTAAAAACTAACGTTTTTAGAAAGCAACATTTTATCCGATGGTTCTCCCTTTTGTGTTTTTGGGCTGCCTTTATTAGCTTTGTTTTTTTTCGGAAGGTATGCCTTTATTTAGCTTTGGTGGATGGAATTGCAGACAAGGAACATCTGTGAGTTGGTCTTTGCCTCAGTTTTTTGTTGTGTTAGGTGGCAACATCGAGGCCATTGATCATAGGTGAAATCAACATGGGCTTGGTGGGGACATGGAGTGGTAAGGGCAAGCCTTGGGTTAGGCTGGATCAAAATAAATCATGTCCGTTGGATTTGGGGACCATATGATCTATACATGACCAATCTCCACAGTCCACATTAAAGTATCATCGGCTTTGTCGACTGATTCCAATTTAATTGGGTATTTTATTTGGCAGCAACACAATATTCTCGCATTTAGAAATTCAGGAAAAAATTATTTCATTTGATGATGATTATATTATTTTTTCTTTTTCTTTTACATGCTGATTCAAGAATCTTTGATCCTCTAATTATTTATATTTATATTTATATATATCTACTTATATACACACATCAACATTTTCCTTTTCCCAAAAAAAAAAAATGAATTTGGTATTTTAAAATAAGTATTAGGAGGATATTTTGGACCTGAATAATAGTTTTATATGTATATGTAATCATTTTGCTTAATTCAACCAAAATAAAAAATAAATTTGTTATTTAGTACTTTTAACCTTACTTAAATGTAGTTTTCCCTACATATTATATATTTTCTTTTTTTGATTAGCTTTCTTTTTATTGAATTAAAAATTAGATATTAATGTGTTTACTTCTCTAATTAGATTTTTTAATATTATATATTTTCTTCTTTAATTATATTTTCTTTTCAAATAATATAGTAGTTGGAAAAAGTTATTTGTTTAGTTAACAAAAATAATATACTCCGTACTAGTTAAAATTGAAAAGAAATAGAATTTAAAAATAAATAAATATATATACTGAAATATTATAAATTTCATTCTCTAATTATTTTTCCTTTTAATATAATATAATAATTGAAAAAAATTATTTTTTTAGTTAACAATAATAATATAGCAGTTAAAATTGAAAAAAGAAATTAATTAAAAACAATTAATATATGTACTAAAGCACAAGATTGTACTTTTAATAATAAGTATAAATATAGATAGATATGATATAGGCATTTGCTTAACCTTTTAAAAAAATTGTTTACCTCAATTTGTATCAAAATTGTTTATCCATTTTTGTTGTTAATTTTGGTTTTCAAAATTTAAACGGATTAATAGCTCGACAATAGAGATGAAATATATATATATATTCAGAACTTTCAAACATGAAATCTGAGTAAAAGTTTTTTATTTTTCATTATATATATACATACCTTGCCATTGAAGAGAGCTTGTATTTCGGAAATGCCTTCCTCCGATATTTCTTCTTCTTCATAATCACAACTATTGCATAAACTTTTCAAGCTTGACAACTCATCAAGAATCAAAATCTTTAACTTAGTGAACATGACAATCACATGACTTGTGTCTGCTTCTTGGATTGAGAGTAATTGTTTGTCCCATATAATTGTAATGCTATTTAATTTTCTAATGGTCAATTTCTCCAAAACGGGAAGAGTAACCTGTGGTTCATTACATTAAATTTTGTTCATTACATATGCACATATCGTTTTCCTTCTAGGTCTTTTCAATCCAATTCACGATAATATTTTTGAACACATAGATCAATTCCGACATTCTTTTAAAAAGAAGATACTCTACTATTTGTCATCAACAACCATAGCACAACTTGAGATTTCAATACAGTGTTTTTTTTTACGAGGAAACAATAGGAATTGAGCCATAATTAAAGAGATGTCTAATTCACACACTACACAAAATATAAATAAATAAATAAATCAATTACAACAATAGTTTTATTAAA